TAGAATAGAATGAAATGGAATAGAGTGGAATAGAATGGAATGGAATAGAATAGAATAGAACGGAATAGAACAGAATAGAATAGAATGAAATACTAATGGAATATAATAGCATGGAATAGAATGGATAAACTTTCACAGCTGACAGCCATTTATTAATGCCATCAAAGTGCATCAGTTCTCCTTGATGTCCACTTAACTAAATATTTATTGACTAACTCTTTAAAACAATGTTAACTCAAGCATCTCCTTACCTGGCAAGTATGGTGCCAGCAGCTTCTTGAAGGCTCTCCGAAAYTCTTTGTTCATGACGCCATAGATAAGAGGATTCAAGCAGCTGTTGCCATAGTGAGCCCATTTTGCTATGGCAACAATGACAGGCGAAGGTGGGCACCCACAGATATAGTATGACAAATTGAGGCCAAAGAATGGCGACCAACAAATCAAAAAGGCACCTATCACGACTGCCAAAGTCTTCGTGGCTTTGAGTTCTTTTTTAAAAAAACGGCCATGTTTTCCACCCAGAGATAATTCTATTTGATGAGCGTGATATCTTGCCAGTTGAAAGATACGAAAATATGCAATCGATATAACGATGACAGGGATAATGAAGTTTAATAAAGTTACCACAAGGCTGTATCCTCTCCAGGCCCACAGTGTCGGTGCAACCGAAGCTATGACTATCGAGTACAGCCATATACCTAATATTATAAACACTGCTCGAACATTCGTCATGATGGAGCGATACTTTAAGGAACTTGCAATACATAGATAACGATCGATACTGACGAATGTCAAATGCCAGATAGATGCTATGCCAGACATTATATCGGTACTTGTCCAAAGCATTTGTAAAACTGTATCAAAGACCCATAGTGGTCCTGTTATGAGGTACGCCACCCATATTGGCATCGCAATGACTGCAACCAAGATATCAGTTACTGCTAACGATGCAACGAAATAATTCGTCACTTGTCGCATGCGACGAAATGTCTTAAAAGCCATGATGACCAAAACGTTGCCGAATATCGTGAGAATTATTAGAATTACAACAAAGAGTGAACTGAGCACCACTGTTGATGTCGAGAATTTAGGTATATCAGGCTCGCTCGTGGAGTTAACAATACCCTGCGATCCATTTGTAAGGTTATTTGTTGACTTCAAATCGATCATTTTCGCCTYGTTCTTGAAATAATAATTTGAAACTTTGCTAAATATACGTAGTAAATATTTTATGTTCTTTCCTATAGGCCGCGTTTAAAAGCCGCCTTCTCTTCACTCTGCAACAAAAAAAAAGTATATGTATCACGTAAGATAAATGTGGTTGTGAAAATATATTCCACTCCTTTGATTTACGGAAGTCCTTTAAAGACGTAAGAAACAATGAAAATAAAAGAATATATAATGAAACACTTGAAACTAAACTGTAAATCCAGAAAAATGAAAAGATGAACGCTCAACTACTGCATCCGGAATATGACAGCTGGTATGAAAATAATCTAGTACAAAAAAAGGAACAGTATCCAGTACAAACGATAGGAGTATCCGATGGACGTCTTCAGTGTAAATATCCTCGGCGCATCTGGGCACAGTTTTATTTTTGTCGCGCGCATAAGCCAAAATTAAAAAAAAAAAAAAAAAAAAAAACTTGTAAAATCAGTTTTGGCAGTGATTGCGTTTGATGAAGTTCTTTTTCTGAAATCATTTAAGTCTGCGACAAGGATAGGAAAAACTTAAAAATAAATATTTTCGTTAATTTACGAGTAACATAAAACTAAACTCGTTTCTGTTTGAATAACAGAAAGGCTTACTCCATTGTTCTTGTCATATCCTATAAATCCTTTTAAAATATATATCCTTAATGCGATGTTTGCTCCAGGCGCGCCCCTTAAATGCAGTAATATTGATATCGATACTTTCGTCTATCTCCAAATGATGGAGATTTAATTAATCAGGTTAATGAGAAAAATATGATACGTGAGCGTCGAAAGCTAAGTTAATAAATGTATTAACCAGGAAAGGCTAGCTTCGCATCAATGATTGGCCGTAGGGAATGGCTATTTCAGTGGCACCGACTACCACCGCACTCATAATAAAAACGCTTATTCACTACAAAAGGTTCATCAACGGAATGTTCAATTTACACAGTAGTGTTAAAAGCCAATAAAAATGAAAGGCTTTTCAGTGAATTAGAGAAAAAACTATCATCGATAATTTTAGAGTATCATTAAGAATGTGTGGCGATTTTGCCCATTGGAAAAAATTGCCCATACATTTGGAATATATGCTCTTTTCGGTCTTTTTCCTCTCTTTCCAAAGCAAAAGGTTGTTCTTAAAAGTAAAGTTATATAGCACAAGTAAACTGCGTGACACAACATCCTAAATGACCCTGTAAATCTTCTGTTCTTCGCGAACTACTGTAGTTAGCGTGTTTCCGAGGCTACGAAACCTAAGAAACCATAAGAGGCGAATGTATAGGCCAACAGATAGTATGAGCTTATAAAATCAGCAAAAATACGGTTCTAAATTTTAACAAATTCCTATGAATTATATACCAAAATGTTCAGGAAAGCCCGGAGTTTTCAAATCCACTTCTGTTTTTTTCACAGGTTCTGCTTTATTTCAATGAGAGACGATTTTCTAGCTTGACCCCGGTTATGTCATGCATTTTCTCTTGTAAAATACATCCAATAGCGTACATTCAACTCAAAAAGTACGGTGGTTTTTTTCAATAGAATTCAATCTAAACCATATAATRCAGTCCGTGAATAGTTGAATTAACTGAATCCACTTCTGTTTTTTGCCTAGATAGTCATTATTTTGAGAAAAGATCCAAAAACCGTGTTTTTGAGACATAATTCGTATGGGCTCACATGAGGGGGCGTGAGCTTGAAATCGTAGCTGACCAAATGTTAACAGATTTTTTCTGATGAAACTTCAATGTTTTTTCTTCAAAAAAAACCTTGCTTTATGAAACAGTGCGATACAATTGGAGATAAATTTCGGAAGAAAAAGATTTGGAATGGATTACACATTGCCTCCTGAAGATTAACAATTACGGATACACGAGACCACGTGATTGATAATTACATAATAATTTAATTACGAAACTTTTAATTCCTAGCTTCCGTTTTCGTTTCTTTCCTTTCCTTAGACATTTTCTTCTCCTTTTTTTCTAAACCCCTACTTTTGATTCTTTCTTCTGAGAATTTCTTTCGTCTAATTACTCGCTATAGGTACATATTACTTCCTAGTGAATCTATAATCAATACTAGCAAATACAATACAACCGCCTGTAATTTTAAAATGTCGTCTTTGATATCAAAGCGTTAGCTATGAGAATATGCGGTAGATATATACTAGTTTATATGCCATTAAGGCTATAACACCAAAACATGAGCAAATAAAATATAAAAGATATAAAAAGAAAACAACAAAAACCGTTCAACTCCCGAAGTTCCTAGTGCTTATTGATGTTGTTACTTTGCTACTTTAAGTTGATTTATGGCGTTACAGCAAGGATAATTAAAATTAATAAATTTATAATATAGATATCTTCTTATTTGAATATATACTTAGTAGTTTTAATTTATTTAGTATATAGCTTCATATTTAACTTTAGTATGATGAATGTAGAGTTACCTTGTAGATATGTCATCATCAAATCATTATTAATTATTATTATTATTATTATCAATTAATTAATCCTTTATGATATGTGCGCAGAATTTATACATACGTGTATCTGTACCTTTTTCAGATGTTCACGTCTTGCTTGAACGTGATGGCGAAGGACAAATGGAATACGCACCACTCAACCTAATAGTGCCGGTGACGATCTCTTTAAAGGCCTTCTAAG